GAGTGGAGCATTCCTTTAAACATTAAAAAGACCAGGCAGTTCAGATAGAATCAAAGGAAGGCAGGCAGGCAGCTTTGCATGATATTCTTCTGGACGTGTTTCATTGTGGTGATAGTGAGGGTAGTCAATCGTTTTATTGACAAGACACAGGGTTCATACACTTTTTCACCAATGATTTTCAATGACTTTTCCATGACTTCTCAATTACCTTTACCTAATTTTCCATGACCAAAAAAAAATTACCACTGAAAATTGTTTATTTCAACATGGAACAGGAAGGTCTGCATATAAAACATGTAGTGCCTATCTAAAACAAATCAAATAGTAGGCTTACTAGCTTCTACACGCTAAAGCAACTGTAGTCAGGGATGCAAACTCATCAGGTATAAAAAAGGTGACAAGGATCCGAGCCCCCCCGACCCCACGGAATATCAGCTTTAAAATGAGGAATAACAGGATCAGTCAGAACAACTAAAGCAGCTGTGGTAATAATAACAGAAACGCTAAAGAGTCACATCTAATAGAAATATACAAAAGCATTTATTTTAATTGTGTAGCAGTCAGTTTATAATTTTGGCAGCACTGTTGAGCATTTTGAAAATGTATTTTCATGCCTCTGTGCAAGGCTTAGTCTTTCCATCTGTATAGCCACTGGTGTAAAGTAACTAAGTTCATAAACTCAACAAGTATTATACTTGGGTACAATTTTGAGATACTTGTACTTTATTAAGTATTTCAATGTTTTGCTACTGTGTACTTCTTCTCCTCTACAGTTCAGAGGTACATGGTGTACTTCTACTCCACTCCATGTATTTAATCCCTTTAGTTACTTCACAGATGATGAATGATGCGAAATATAATCAAGTGTTGAATCAGACTTTAGTTCCACCTGGAGTAAATCCACAAGCTACCCTGCAGTATACAAAGTCATTCAAACTAGCTGCACCTTTACCAGCTTTGAGAACACTTTCATGATCAATCTTTATAAAACATATCATATATATTATTCTGAAATGGACCAATCTGCACAATGACTACTTTTACTGTCGCTACTTTCACTATATTTTGATGATAATACTTTTCTACTTTCACTTGAGGAACATTTTGAATGCAGGAATTTCACTGTAACAGAGTATTCCTACACTCTGGTACTTCTACTTTTACTCAAGAACAAGATCTGAGTACTTCTACTTTTATTAAGTACAAGATCTGAGTACTTCTACTTTTATTAAGTACAAGATCTGAGTACTTCTACTTCTACTAAAGTACAAGATCTGAGTACTTCTACTAAAGTACAAGATCTGAGTACTTCTACTTTTATTAAGTACAAGATCTGAGTACTTTTACTCAAGTACAAGATCTGAGTACTTCTACTTTTACTCAAGAACAATATCTGAGTACTTCTACTAAAGTACAAGATCTGAGTACTTCTACTTTTACTCAAGTACAATATCTGAGTACTTCTACTTTTATTAAGTACAAGATCTGAGTACTTCTACTCAAGTACAAGATCTGAGTACTTCTACTTCTACTCAAGAACAAGATCTGAGTACTTCTACTAAAGTACAATATCTGAGTACTTCTACTTCTACTAAAGTACAATATCTGAGTACTTCTACTCAAGTACAATATCTGAGTACTTCTACTTTTATTAAGTACAAGATCTGAGTACTTATACTCAAGTACAAGATCTGAGTACTTATACTCAAGTACAAGATCTGAGTACTTTTACTTTTACTCAAGAACAAGATCTGAGTAAAGTACAAGACCTGAGTACTTCTACTTTTACTCAAGTACAAGATCTGAGTACTTCTACTTTTATTAAGTACAAGATCTGAGTACTTCTACTTTTATTAAGTACAAGATCTGAGTACTTCTACTCAAGTACAATATCTGAGTACTTCTACTTTTATTAAGTACAAGATCTGAGTACTTCTACTTTTACTCAAGAACAAGATCCGAGTACTTCTACTAAAGTACAAGATCTGAGTACTTCTACTTTTACTCAAGTACAAGATCTGAGTACTTCTACTTTTATTAAGAACAATATCTGAGTACTTCTACTAAAGTACAAGATCTGAGTACTTCTACTTTTACTCAAGTACAAGATCTGAGTACTTCTACTTTTACTCAAGAACAATATCTGAGTACTTCTACTAAAGTACAAGATCTGAGTACTTCTACTTTTACTCAAGTACAATATCTGAGTACTTCTACTTTTATTAAGTACAAGATCTGAGTACTTCTACTCAAGTACAAGATCTGAGTACTTCTACTTCTACTCAAGAACAAGATCTGAGTACTTCTACTAAAGTACAATATCTGAGTACTTCTACTTTTATTAAGTACAAGATCTGAGTACTTATACTCAAGTACAAGATCTGAGTACTTTTACTCAAGAACAAGATCTGAGTAAAGTACAAGACCTGAGTACTTCTACTTTTACTCAAGTACAAGATCTGAGTACTTCTACTTTTATTAAGTACAAGATCTGAGTACTTCTACTCAAGTACAATATCTGAGTACTTCTACTTTTATTAAGTACAAGATCTGAGTACTTCTACTAAAGTACAAGATCTGAGTACTTCTACTTTTACTCAAGTACAAGATCCGAGTACTTCTACTTTTACTCAAGAACAAGATCCGAGTACTTCTACTAAAGTACAAGATCTGAGTACTTCTACTTTTACTCAAGTACAAGATCTGAGTACTTCTACTTTTATTAAGTACAAGATCTGAGTACTTCTACTCAAGTACAATATCTGAGTACTTCTACTTTTATTAAGTACAAGATCTGAGTACTTCTACTAAAGTACAAGATCTGAGTACTTCTACTTTTACTCAAGTACAAGATCCGAGTACTTCTACTTTTACTCAAGAACAAGATCCGAGTACTTCTACTAAAGTACAAGATCTGAGTACTTCTACTTTTACTCAAGTACAAGATCTGAGTACTTCTACTTTTATTAAGAACAATATCTGAGTACTTCTACTAAAGTACAAGATCTGAGTACTTCTACTTTTACTCAAGTACAAGATCTGAGTACTTCTACTTTTACTCAAGTACAATATCTGAGTACTTCTACTAAAGTACAAGATCTGAGTACTTCTACTTTTACTCAAGTACAAGATCTGAGTACTTCTACTTTTACTCAAGAACAATATCTGAGTACTTCTACTTTTACTCAAGAACAATATCTAGCTAGCTCAACGATTCCTTAATGATATTGCGACAGAAAAACTTTTCAGTGCACATCACGCTCTACCGCTCTGCTCTGAACACCTGAACGGCCCGTTCTAACAGCTGTTCACCAGCGGCTCAGTCTGTGCCACAGTGACTCCGCACAGTTAACGAACGCACCGTAGATAATGTAGCTGGGTCATTCTACAGAAAAGGTGGAAGTGCTGTCACTTACTTTTGCAGACACCAAAATACATGACGTTGAACTAATACTCACATTCATTATATATGTTGAATAAATAGAGATTGTCTTTGCAATGGTACTAAATAAAAAATAAATAAAAAATGGTTTTATACGTAAATTGCAATTTATTTAAAATGTCAAGTCCAAGGAACTGCCTTGTCACTTTGATCATACATGGAAGTGGAGCCTATAGTTTTCATTTAAAATATTTTTTTTTCAATAAATAAATCTAATTTATATTTACATAACATTACAAGCATTAAATATAACACTGAAATGGTAAGAAAAAACGCAAATTATTATTAATAATATCAAATAAATGTCAGTCACCCAAAATTACGTCATTGGTGTTACTGCCACACAAAACGCTTTTATTTTGAAATAATGTACCGTCTCTGAAGTGCCTCCTGTAACAAGAGATCATTTGAGGCAGTGCAGTGGACAAAGACATAAGGAAAGTCAGATACTTCTTACTTGGTTTGTTAAAAGGTGTCATTTTATCTTCAAATTTTACATGCGTCTTTCAAGTCTGTCATTAGTGTTACTCATTGCATAGCCCTAGGGGTGAACATTTGAATGGGAAAATGTATTGTATTGAAGAGTTAAACGATTTTGATATTGACTGAAGTCATATTTGGTCTGACACATTGCAGCCATTTTGTTAAAATGGTAGCGTTTTCTCCAAATTGTCACTGGTGTTACTCTTCTTCCTAGTAACACGTAACACCAGTGACATTCCTATACAAATAAGCTTTGTATAAAGTATAAAAAAAACAAAAAACTTTAAGCTCTACTTGTTGTGGATTCATCAAGTTAAGAGTTAGTTATTGCTATTTAACAGGTTTTAGAAGGAATATATTTCAGCAGATTTGTATCACCCAGATTCCACCTTTTCTGTAGAATGACCCAGCTGACCCTCATCCCGGAGCAGCAGAGTTCAGCCGGCCCGACAGGCAGGACGACTCGAGCACACAGCTCGCGCTTCATATATTAAAAAATAACACCATGCGCGTTATGATGGCACATAACAGCTCGCGACCGCAGATTATTTCAGCGATTAGATAAAATGTAAATTATATTTGACGCAACTTTAGTTACATTTCCATGACTTTTCCAAAACTTTGGGAAAAATATTGTTTTCCATAACTTTTCCAGGGCCTGGAATTTGCATTTTGAATTTCCATGACTTTTCCAGGTTTTCAATGACCGTACGGACCCTGAAGACAGTAGTGACGGCCATCTTGGTGACGTGTGTTGTTCTGCGAGACCAGAGATGTAGTTCATTGAGCGCTTCACACAAACATGTGTTACTTCACAGTTTTACGACAATTATTTTTTTTTTTACTTGCAAAATTATCTTTTCAATTGACAAACATCATATGTGTAATTCGTGGCACAATTCAAACGGGATCGAAAGATAATCTTTCTCTCTCCATTGACTTCAATACATAATTTTTTCGAAATAAGGTCCCGTGGAGGTCCACCGGAAAGGAAGGGACTTCGCCACTATTTGTTGTGCATGTGAGATGTAGAAGAGTGAACTGTATGCTGGAGGTCTAGGCAGGTGTTTCTCACCTTGGGACGGATGTTATCCAGCTCTCCATTCTGCAGCCTCCACAGCACATTACAGGTGTTGTCCCCTCCAATGCCAAAGTTGAGCGCATGAAGAGGAGAGAATAACTCCCTCCAGACCTGTGCGGAGGAAAACAAAAATCTACAATTCATATGAACATTTCTGAACTTTGGTGACTTTTATCAAGCAACTCACTGAGGCGGAGTAAATGTCAAGAGAGTAGCCATTACAAATGTACATTTACATTAGAGTACTGATTGAAAATAATATGATTTAGTAAAAACTACATAAAGATGCAAGTGTGTCGAATGAGCCTGTTTAGAAAGATAATTATCTTGTCTCACCTCATACTGCTTCATTAGTTGTATCATAGAATCTCCCACAAAAAGCACGTCTGGTTCAGCATCCTTACACTCCTGCACAAATCTTATGTGCTGTAAAAAACACCCAAAAACAACACAGCCTCGTCACAACAGAGTATGAGATGTAGTCAATAATCATGATCATAAAATACACTTAATAATGCAACCTTATCACACGACAAGACTAGCTGTAGCTTTTGAAAACTACATTTGAAAAGACAGACCAGAAGGTGCCACTAAAAAACTACATAAAGTGATGCTCTGAAAGAAAAACATCCATCTTGGGAATGGTTACTTCAATCTTTGCCCCACATTTGTAAATTGTATAATTGAAAGTACTGTCAAAGCATTATCTCATGAGAATGTGTTTTTCTCGCCTCTAGCTGTGGGATCAACGGACAATATTGAAAATGAATGGTGGATATTTAACACAATATTAAATGTGTTGTTGCTGCATTATAAAATGTGTTGTATTTGGGGCAGATTAAATAATAAGATTTCCAAGAATATACATTCTAACAGATTCAGGAGACACATGATAAAAAATATATTGGATAACATACGTTGTATAATTATTGTGCATGTGTTTTAGTGGGAAGGGTCAGGAAGAGTTGCAGTGGTTTGTTGTTTAGACTGAGCAGAAAACAACAAACCACTGAGACAATACTAACATAAAGCATGCATAATAAAGACAATGCCCAATAAAATGTTCCATCTGATCAAGAATGGAAAAAGACAAACCGTTCAATTAAATAATGCATTGTAAATAGTGAATACATTTAGTCATTTTTATATGATATAGCTATTCAAAAAACAAACCTGAGACATCCACCGGTCATCTCCTTGCGCATCCTCTACTGGCTTTGCCACTGCAGCTGGGTTCACTTCATCACCACTCATCCTGCAGGAGAAACCACCACTTATTCACACGTAAAAAACAACATATAGCTCTAAATTAACAGAGACACGAGGCGTATATGAAAGAGGACGGGTTCATGTTGTGGTAGGTTGGTGGGGCTGCGTTAAAAATGGAAAGCATCAGCACTAGCAAACAGAAACCTATGCTGTGATGCAGACGCTTAACATATCAGCAGCAGAGACACTGGCCTAATAAAGATACAGGCAAACGTGCTTTCGCTTTCCAGGCTTATGGATCACAGAGCAGGTGGCGATACACTTGCTGTGTGACAGTTTATATGACGTTAGCTTGCTAGCCAGCTAGCTATCCTGCTAATGACTGGAACCTCTGATACTCAACAAGACTGTCATAAATATAACAACGTAAAAACATATTTCGTCCTTAATTTAAAAGATAAACTACCTGGCAGGGTGTCAGCCGTCACGTGTCGACTCCCTCGGCTTCAGAGTTGCTGTTTTGCCCTAACTAAACTTCACCGCTGGCGGGTGATGTTCGCTAGCTAGCAACGGTTAGCCAACTCTAGCTAGTAGCTAGACGAGACAACAAAAGGTGTGTCAAGAAGGCAAACTACAGAGAGTGTAATGCGAGAAGAGCGCCCATTTGATACCACTAGCCGTAACCATTCAGTCTGGCCGTTCGAGAGCACTGCAGTGAGTTAATGCTAGCTGATGGAGGTTGGTCCCTGAGTATTGTCTGACAGGCAGGCATTTGTGACTGGCTGCATACATCACCAGAACCAAACTCTTATTTTCATGGCAATAAAAAGCTTATGTAGCTTACACCAAACATGCTGCTACATTATGTAAACTGTGGAGGTTGTTGAGGTCGACACACAGCTTAAAGATGCTCTTTCCTGACAGGTCATTCTCAGGGGAAGAAAAAACCCCAAAACAACTGGTCCCGCAATGTATCATGGGTGTGTCGCTGGCATACAAATGCTGCATTAAAACCATAGACTCGAACTTTATAACCCTAATAGAGTTTACTTCAGATTCACATATTAATCCGTGGTTAGACACTAAGGAGGAAATTAATTCGAAGTGTGAGGGTATGACTCTCTTACTTCCACTGTTGGCCCATTTTAACACCAGAGACCGTATGTTTAGAGAGCATCTTTGTTAATACACCATCTCTGATCTCAGCCCTGCCTGTCAGATTATCGCAATGCATCATGGTCACGTTTGATAAAATACTGCATTCCTGTGCAGTATGAAATACAGGAAATGTCATGAAACTATTATGTTTAGCAGTTGTTGGAAATCATGCTTTAAACACAACCAACATTAATTAATCACTATAGATATAAACAATTGTGTCATGGCCTCTTTATATCTTTTACCCTAAATTACAGTGACCATTTGAACATGGTTGTTGATGTCACATCAAATCTGAACTAACACATGATCAATCAGATCAGCACTCCATGCAGACTGTTGAGTTCCTCTTTATGCCATACACAGCCACCTCTGAGAGCGGTAACACCACAGTTATTTGTGTAACTACTCAACCACTGTAACTATCTCTTCAGTTTATTTTTTAGCTTTGGTGGCTATATATCTTGTCTTCCTTGAGCAATCAATCTTTCTATATCTGATTTATAATGCCCTAACATCACAGGAAGGTATTGTTTTATATATTATGCACAGTACTGAGATGCATTCAGACTCTGAAACAAAAACAACATACTGTACTGTGCAACAAAATGTGTACAGACTCCTAGAAATGAGTCTTGCTTTGCCTAATCATCATTTGTGTTATGCAAGCGCATAAGGAGAGGTGTCAATATTCATCATGAGATAATCATGATAACCTCCTACGTACTTTTAGGCTAATTTTACTCCGCCCATCAGAAACTACCAAACATTTTCACCACCAATATTTAGACCTCCCCAGTTTGCTGTGAAGAACATCCATGACTGACAGCATGTCTAATACCATGAATCCGATGATTCTGCTTTGTGTTTTCGTGGGAGGGTTGTTGCTGCCTGGTGAGTTTAAATAACCCACATCTTTCCTAGGCTGTAAACACTAGTTCTGATTAATACTTGGATACTATATAAATGTAGAACCTGAACGCAGTGCATCACCACAAGCATGTATATTTAATTCACAGAAAGGTTTGCTATTTTCATTTGTACTAAATTATTACTTACACATTATTTGAGAGTGTTATACAACATATATATATATTTCGAAATTAATTCATTTTAAGTTAGGGTATTTATTATTCTAATTCTTACCTATGCAGACTAAGTCCACTTGAAGGGGGTTGTTTGATACCATTAGATATAAACATATTCTACTCCACATGAAGTGATGGTTTGGCAGTTAGTAATATTAAGCTGTAAATGCAGAAATGTCCTGTTACACATATTTGTGCAAATAAAACGTGCACCCAGTCTGGTCAGTGTTATCTGTCAAACACATGCAGTATCCAGTCAAAACCCTGAACTCTACACACCCTTACAATCATTAACCAGTTGTGAAATTAGAGCATTGACCAGAATGCATTACAGGCAATAAAAAAGTCCTCTGGATTTGTTGATTTATAAACCTAATTAATATATCAATAGGTACAAAAACTGTTTATTTTACAATTTATAGCTACAGACACAAGACACTCTTCTATAATTAGACAACCCATTAGAGAGCATTTGTTCTAACATCGTTTTTCCTTCTTTAGGGATGCAAAAAGTCAGCGGGATGCAAGTTTATACTGCATGGGAGGTGGAAGCATTGAACGGGACGGATGTGAAACTGAGGTGCATCTTCAGTTCCAGATATCCTGTCACGTTTTTGTCAGTGATTTGGATGTTCAAACCCCTGCACGGAAGACCTGAGGTGGTGTGTGGCACTGGATGTTTTACGGTGATGCTCTAAAGATATTGAAGTTATGTTTCAATGTCATTTTGTGTGTTTCGGGTGATGTACTGTGAGGCCGTATCCTCCGTCTGAAGGGCGTTTTAGAAACCAGGTTGTGTGGTCAGGGGATGTCGTGAAAAAAGATGCCTCCATCACCCTGCTGCAAGTGTCCCAGACTTTCAGTGGTAGCTACACCTGCACGGTGTGCAACCCGCCTGATATACATGGAAGAGATGGAGAGGTCGTCCTCAGAGTGGCCAACAAGACAACAAGTAAGCCCTATTTCATCCCTTGTTCACAAAGCCATGTTTCATTCTGGAGTCCCAGATTTGCCACTGGTCATTTATGTCTCAATAATTGTAATCGGTGGGAGTCCTTACACTATTGTTTCTATCACTCTTTCCTTCTCTATTTTTTGTTGTTGCAGATTTTAATCCACATGACTTGTTCCTGGATATGATTTGGAAATGAATGGTGCAGTGGTGTGAAGGATGTTGAATGAGTGGAATTGTTTGCTTACTGAAATGTTCAGGTCCAAGTATTACTATAAGACCTTTAGAACTAAAAACAAGGTGCGGTCCTGTTGTAAGTGGAGGATCTACTTTTCCTCCTGTACAACAGTGACTGTAGGTCTGTCACTTTCACTTCTAAATAAATATTCTGTGGTTTGAAATCTGTGTGATCTCCTTATTTTTTAGACTCCACTGAGCTTGTGTTGTGTGGGTATTTTTAATAATATTTTCCAACAAAAAACCATATCAGACACAAATCATTATTCAAACATGCTTTTATCAGTCCTGAACACATAGTGTAGATGTCCGAGTACATAAATACTTTTGAATTATCCAAATTTGAAGAGATATGTCTATTTAGGAGTTTGAAAACTTAGAAAATGAACAATATGTAACGACGTATAGCACTGTACGAATCATACAAATGTCAGTGACTCAATATGTATATTTTTTAAACCTTGCCATATTTATAGATTTTTTTCTCTAGAAAGAGATAATAAGGATGTAAATCTGTGAATGTTTTTGGGTGGCAAAGACAGTGACATCAGGTCTAAATTAAAGGCTAATAAATAATACAACTGTGATGATACTTACTATTTTCATTATTTTTCTTTTTATAATCAGGAATTAGCTGTAGGCCACTAAACCTATTATCATCATGCAAAATAAAAAATGTTAGAAGCTTTTTCTACTATTTCCCATGATACTCGAATATAACACTGTCTTCTGCTTAAGTGAACAATGACTATTTGTGATATGACCCAGTTGCCACAAGTCAGCAGAAAACTCCTTTAAGGTTTTAATGATTAAGTTGACCCTCAGCCACAGCAGTGGTGTAAGTAGATTTACTCGAGTAACGTACTTAAGTACAATTTTGAGGTACTTGTACTTGACTATTTGAATATTTACTACTTCTACTACAGATTATTGATATAATCAACACTATAAGACTTTAGTTACAGCTTTGATAAACACAATAATACATCTATAGTTATAATCAAAACATATCAATTATATTATTCTGAAATAGGCCAATTTGCATAAAGAGTAGGCCTACTTTTACTTTTGTACCTTTAAGTATATTTTGATGCCAGTACTTTTGTACTTTTACTTGTAACAGAGTAGCCTATTCCTTCACTCTGGTTTGTACTTTTACTTAAGTACAATATCTGAGTACTTTTCCCACCTCTGCCTATTTCTCATGACACGTTATACCACTGTCTAAAGTTGTGATACGACACTGTGGCCACAAGATGGTACCAGTCAGCAATTCTAACCTAATTCAAACTTTAAGTTGACCCTCGGTAAAGCTTTGACTTATAGCATACACCGAGTGCTCCTGCCCATAAATCCACACGACACGCTCCGTGAGAGGCTAACAACGAGCCTGAACAGGAAGCGTACTGGCAGGTCGTGTGTGTCGGTATGTTAACAGGTTTTTACCAGAGGATAGGTGAGGCAGTAGACGCCGCCCCTCAGGTGTGTGCGCACAGTGACTCATTGTTTCACCACCGACGCACGGCTCTTTCACTCCGACACTCCGCGGAGACGTTTGCGTTCATGCCTCCGTTCAACAAATGTGCACGAAGAGACTTTTAACAGAGTAACTAACCTGCCGGAGGTGACGCAGTTTAAATGTTTTATCCCATGTTTCGGATATGGCCTCTGCTTCTGCTGGGAGGACTCGTGCTGCCAGGTGAGTTTCAACAACTTCCGGTAGAGAGTACCGTAGGCCACTTATTATGCAACCAAAAACAAAGTTAAAGAATGTATTTTTAGGCTCGTAACTATTTACTTCAATATCCTGCCGGAATGTAGGAGCTGTTTGGACAGGCAGGTTTAGACACACCTGTCTTGTATTGTGTTGTTGTGTGTTGTGTGCTTTTCTGGAAATGAGTCTTTGGCAGACATGGTAGACTTTTTACTCTTGTTGTTGAGTTGTTAGAATATCCACCATGAGAATGCTCCATACCTGATTGTAGTGACATTGTGAGGCTGTCTGTTTGATAAGCACTCTCATGGCCTCACAATTCATAGATAACATGGAGCAGGATTTGTAACACTCCTTATGTTCCCAGGCTTTTTCGATTGGGGGCAAAGGAACAACTGAAACTAAACTGCTCTTGCAAGTAGCACAGACCTGTTTTATTGGCAACACTCACCTGCAAAGCTATGCAATTGGAAAGTCTTTCATTTGAATTGTCATTG